TTTTTATTGAATTTTTATATAAACTAGGTAGTGGAGTAAAATTTACATTTTGTGCTCACATGAAACAAATACCTTTATCAAAGGTCCTTTTTTATTGCTGCAACATGTTATCAATACAAATTTCAAATATTTCTTACTCTCCAAAGATAGTATGGCACCAAAATAAGTCTGTGATACCCACAAAAGAACACTCAAATCATGATTAGCAAAATGTCTTTATTTCTACAATTACTACATACATTCTTAGATAATCATTACACCATTGACTTTAGTTGTTAGTGGCATAACCAGCCTCAAAATTTGGTCATGCTATTCAAATTTGAAATAATCACTACTCATTTGTTTAGAAATTGATTGTTTTCACAATCTAGAACATGAAAATATTTGCAAATAGCATGACCAAGTGTTGTTGGGCTGGCATCATCATAATTAGTAGTTATAAAAAAGTAATGTTTTCCAAGGCAGTAATGTTTGCTAAAGCAGTAATGTTTGCCAAAGCACATAATTGGATTATGTGGTGAAAATATTTCCTTTATATTGTACTACAAAAGACCTAAGACTGTAACCAAACTGATATCAGATCACCACGTCATACCCAAATCTGTTGCGATGAATATCTGGACTTCTTCCTGTATAAATTTCAAAGTCGCAATATAACCATTAGGATTGTCTGCAGCAACCCACAGATTTATTCCCCACATAGTAGGTCATCTAGCTTTCATGAACTGCCTAACCCCCAACCTATTTCTTGATTTGACAGTGTGTTTGTCTGCAACAACAATATTCTGTGACGGCTGGTACAGTTGTTGATGCAGTTTATTGCTGTAGTCTTTAGTACAGGATCTACCATATTCACAAACGCCATAAGTGCTTTGTACCTAACCCGAGAAATTATGTCTATTGCCCACAGACCATGATATAAGGTTTTACACTCCAATAATTTTCAATCTCACTGTCGACGTTTAGCAAACCTGCATATTATACTAAAAGGCAATCAACCTCTCAAGGTTGGTGGACTGCAAGACCTTTTTTTATTAGTATATGGGGATAACTTTTGAGTTATTTGTATGTGGGCATATGTATTGGTATGGCCAGGAAACTACCTCCTGAAGCATTCCCTTAGTAAAAAAGAGTCCAATGAACTCAAGCTCACAGTTCATTGAGCCAAATGAACTCAAGCTCACAGTTGATCGAAATGGATCCCGGACATGTCAGTGAGGAGCAAAATCTGGGAGAACATTCCTGGCGTCAGGATCATCATATCCGTCATGTACTATGGGGCCTAGTTGGGATGCTAGACAGGGAGCTTTCGAAACCTTAGGTCCTAATGGCTGGGCTTCCCTCTACCTCTACTCATCCCCCTACCTTCCCTCTGGGTTGGCGAGTGGGGTTCTCATGACTCATCAGAACTCTACTTCCCTGAGGCTATGAAACAGGAACAGCAGATAGGAACAGGATCAATATATATTCATCAGTGCGAATAAAAACTTTTATAGACATGGTGCCACTTAAAATTATAATAAGAGTTAGAGCCAACTAGTAAGATATAAGTATGAATACTTGGCTATTATGTATGTAACAAACAACCAAACATGTGCTCAAGGCTCATTTTACTTCGCTTAGGAATCAGAGATTTTTATGCCTAAAACACCATAAATTTTCGTCAACAATATAAATAAATACCATTTATATTTGTCAATTTCAGTATGAAACGATTATTTCAACACAAAAAAGCGATATGAGGACATACTTGGTCGTACTAGTGAAGCTATACTAAATACAAATAAATTTACAACGCCATGGCAACGGCAAAACATTGAAATAGAAATTGTCTAGAAATGATACAAATACTTGCCTTGAAACTCCAGACACGACTCCCAATGCCAAGTTGAGATACTTGTCTTCATACGAAGACATTCCATCATTACTAGCACTATCAGTTTGCAAAATAAAGCCAAAAACGTCTTCAGAATGCGATTCAAACAAAACTACAACACAATACATTTCAACGCTCGTGCGTTCCCGTGCGCGATAATCAGGAAAATTGCTCTAAAAGATTTGTTTTTCTGTCTAAGCCAATCAAAATCCGTATCTAGGGTAAACAAACACTCCGGAAGTGATTCCTGCAGTCTTTTACCAGGAAACTGTAATGCTTTACCAAGAATTTGGCGTCCGAAGTTGGCCGAACACTTTCCGATCACGAGAATTGCCATAATAGGCTTAGATTATTTCGCAATTTCCCGAGACTGCTCCGAGCTATAGAATGGAAGATGGCGATTCTTTTGGTATATTTGTTATTATTATACGTTGAAAAGAAGCAAAAAGACGAGCATTTGAATCAGGCGGAACATTCAAAATGCAACAGCAAAATTGATAATGTGTCATTTGCATAAATTTCACCGCATTGATCATTTCAAGGTAAGAAATTCGCTTGAAATTGAGCGAGAAACAATAAAATTATATGAATATTTCTGAATATATAGTATAGATCAAGCGGAATTTTTTGGTGGTATTTTCGTATGTCTACTGCAAATACTCGCGAAGTTCTTTAATATTTAATCTTCCCGTCATATACGTCGGAAATTAATATTGGCGGATCGAATTGAGTTAATGATTTGAAAATATTAAATATTTTCAAAATTAACGATTACCTTACCAGCTTATTTATGTACCGTTGTAACTGTACTAATGATTTACCCGACATTTTTAATGGATACTTCATAAAAAATTCAAACATTCATGAACATTGCACGCGAAATTCAAAAAAATTGCATAAAGTTTATACAAGAACAAACTATAGAAAAAAAATCTGTTGTTAGTAAAGGTATTGACATTTGGAATAATTTAAGTACGGAGTTAAAAAATATTGGATCATATATGGTTTTCAAAAAAAATGTGAAAACATACTTCATATCACACCAATCAGCTAATTAATCATCCTATCTTAATGTATAAAGTTTAAAAAATCTGAAAAATCTTGTAAATAGACTAACTTTCCTTTAAACACTCTCACAATTGCATATATTTTCGTTATTATATTATGTACTATTTTTATGACATCATGAAATTATACTAAGTAACAAAAGTTTTGTTATAACTAGGGGTCTTAAAATAAAAGCCCAAAAGGGTTTCTAAAAGATCTCTAGCCCTACGTATAGATTATAAAAATGTAAATAGTTAAATTTTATTGTACTTTGGAAAATTGGGCAAAAATAAATAAAAAAAAACCCAAAAAACTATAGTTTTTGGCTTAAAAAAGTAGTTTATTTTTGTAAGGTAATTGCTGTCAATAATGCAGCCACAAATGAAATTATTAATAGGTTACCAAACTCTTATAAATTTACTTTATGTTGTAAAGGAATCTACCAAAGACATTAACAACAAGTGAATGTCCTTTCATTCAATATATCAATATTCAAACAGCAAATTTTTGTCCACAATAATTTATTTTTTATTTCTTGTTTATGATGTACCGGTACTGGTAGGGTAAGCTTGGGTCTTGTTGATAAAATTTTAGCCAAAGTATAATTAAATTATCCAGAAATTTACTCCTTAGACTATAATTTTTCTCCTTAGAATCGCCCGACTATTCAGCAAGTACAAAATGCTGCTGCAACATCATCTAGCTGCTACAACAACACCAACATCCTAGCTTTCAGGAATACCACAAAAGAAAAGAAGCAGATTTGAACCTCCAGGTTCAAAAATGAAAAAAATGAGGTACTGCATGTAAGAAGTCAAAAATTCATGTAGAAGAAGCAAAAGTTCAAGTTGGGCTGGTTTGTGAAAGTGATGGGAATGGTAGGTTAAAGAGAGTTAAAGGCAGAACAATTCCTGCTGTTCTATGTGATGAACACAATGATGCTGATACTTTACTTCATAAACCAATAGAAAAACATGCATATGTAATCCTGTATCAAGACATGACACTAGGTAAAGATTTGCCAGTTTGTAGTACTCCATTCACATTGGGGAAGTACAAACATGACTTACTAAAACCTTATTCAAAAATTAATTTCTGGTTGTCCTCTACTGCTCTCGACAAGATTTTGGAAATTCCACCTTTGATGATGCAGATAGAGAAAAAAGTGAAGATGATGCTCAGTTGATGTGTTCATCATTCAGTCCTTCTGATGACAATGTTTCAATAGAATCTCATAATACACCATCTTCATCACATTTCCCCCTTGCCATCTGGTAGTGGTGCAATGCAAAAATACTTTGTTTCCCACCAATTCCCTAAATGTTACAAGTATTATTCTCCTGAAGAAATTGAAATTCATGCCGTTATTTGTGCAGAAAGCTGGATTGACACTATTGGTGAATGCACAGTTGTAGTAAATCTTAATGATCAACAACAAGACCTTGAGAATCAGGAAATTTCTGCATGCAGTTGATCAGATGGATTTTCCTGAAAGACTGGAAGCTATGAAGGAAGACCAATGTCAAGAACACATCTGTGAATAGAATTGCCATTCGCAGAAGATTTGTATTCACAGACTACAAAGCAAGGAAGCAAGATTGGAAAAGTACCTTAAACCACAAGGCTTGCTGAAAATGTAATTTAGTAGTGAGGCAGCTATAGATGGTGGTGGACCACGACGAGAGTTTTTCACAGGTAACAAGGGAGCACAATATTATAAACAACATTATTTAAATATTTAATTTGAGACATTTTGTCACCTTGTGTCACATAGTGACATGACAGTTGTGAAATTCAGACTAATAACACAAATTTATGTACAGTATATGTACATACTCTATTATATCTCATTATATTCCTCATACCCAATACAAGTGTCTCTGTGTACTGTATCTGTAAATCTAGGATCTAGGGTAAGTCCAATCAGTCGTGTGACTGACATATTTTTTGCAAAGAAATAATTGACTGCCCCTGCCACAGATCTTCAGTAGTTCTAATAGATGGTTCCCCTTATTGTGTTCATTGAATGCAACCACATTATGCTTTGTGAGTTTTATTATACTAACACATCCATGAAGCATTCAGGTGGTTATGTTCATGGTGCATACTAATAGGAGGAAGCAGCTTTTTATATCTATATTTTATGTATATTTATATTTATGTACGTATTTTGCTGCTTCTGGGTTTTGCAATTGTTAACCGCTAATCTGTTACTTCAGCATTTCTATAAATTATTATTCCTTGCAATAACTGGTGCCCAAGCTGGGCCAAGTTAATATCCTAAGTCCACATATTGATGGAGTTTTGTTTCAACAAATTACAACAATGTGAACATTTGTTTTGGAGCTTAACATGGGAAAGTATCGAGCTCTTTCTAAAATATTTGACTATCCGAGGAACCTACACTAATAGCGCCGTCATGGCACTGCTTTCAAATCACGCTTTATAAAAAATTTATTTCTTGTCTTCGTACTTGCATGCTTGGAGCTTACTAGTTTGTTAAACAATCATAATAAAGATTTAACATGTGCCTTCTCTTTTCGCCGTCGAATCTCACAAACTTGGCAAAATGTACTTAAGTTTCACCACTGTCAATGGTCAACACAACATAACCGACATGTTGATGTAACAATGTTTCACCACTGTCAATGGTCAACACAACATAACCGACATGTTGATGTAACAAAATGTACTTAAGTTTCGTCGCTGTCAATGGTCAACACAACATAACCGACATGTTGATGTAACAATTACTATTTAAAATAGTAAATAAGCTGCTACAGAAGAATACTGATCGACAATATCCAAAAGAATGTGATGACAAAAGCTTAGCCAATTCATTTACTGATTACTTAACCACTAAAATTGAAAAATTCATAATGAAATCGTGTTAGCAAAGAATCTTCTAGTTGCACCTATTATTATTGAGAAAAGTCGTACGTCGGTATTTGATACTTTCAGACAAGTGACAGATAGTGATGTTCGGAAGCTACTTAGTAATTCTAAGATGAAGTTCTGCCTAATTGACCTGGCTCCTACTTTGGTATTGAAAGAATGCAATGAATCATTACTTCCTATTTACACTAGGATAATTAACCTCTCTGTGCAAAGTGCAGTAATGCCAGAACCCTTAAAGATTGCAATGTTAGATCCATTATTAAAGAAGGTCAATACTGACTCTGACATGTTTCAAAACTTTAGACCAGTTTCAAATCTTAAATTTTTGTCAAAAGCTCATCATCGAGAGGGCTGTGTTTGTTCAACTCAATGAATATCTTGTCGAAAATGAATTACACAAAGTCTTTCAGTCAGCCTACAAGTCATTTCATAGCACAGAGACATCTCTATTAAGGGTGCAAAATGATATTTTGCAGTCTTTGGACAAGAAGCAATCGGTCATAAGATTTTATTATCTAGATTGGCTGAACGATTTGGAATCAGTGGAAATGTTCTTGCTTGGTTTAAATCGTACTTGTCATCTTGTAGTCAGTTTGTTAATATCAATGGCACTTATTCTTCCACCCACAATCTCAAATATGGAGTTCCACAAGGTTCTGTCCTCGGCCCAATTCTCTATTTGCTTTATACTGATATCATTAGGAGGTATGATCTTGATTATCATATATATGCTGATGATACTCAGCTATATGTGTCTTCTGAGGCAGATAGTGACATCGACTTGGTGAAGGCTCGTATTGAAAACTGTATAGCTGAAATATGCCGATGGATGCTCTTTAATGGATTAAAGATCAATGATGATAAAACAATATCAGTTCTTATGCACTCGAAGTTTCAGCCTTGTTCTTCACTCCGCGATTCAATCAAAGTTGGCAATGACTTGATTCCTTTTTCGGGTTCGGCTACCAATCTTGGTGTGATTATGGATGAGACACTCTCCTATCATGATCATGTTAAGAAAGTTTGCAAGTCCTCATTCTTTCATTTCACGCTTGGCATTTTTTCTTCAGAAACGTCCAGTTCATTTTTGCTGTACAAGAAATTCTTCAATTTTTATTCTTCTTCTACGATATTTGGCTCTTACATAGAATATATCATTTCTAACATCTGATGTTTTTTGTTTTTGAAATTGTTACATTTTTGGCGGGAAAATAACGTGACGGAAATTGGCACAAAAAATTTATATAATAGATATGGGTTTTCTTCTGAATAAATCTGAAAGAGCATACTGTATGAACCTCAAATGTGAAGTCTGTTTTGTCATGGCCCAATTCATGGCAAAGATTATAGCTAGTTGAATTTTGAAAATTCGCCATTTTGTTACTAAAAATAGAACAAAATGGCGGATTTCTTGTATTTTGAATTGATATAACTTCGTAATGAATAGTCATTATTTAAAACAGACTTCAGATTTGAGGTTCTTACAATATACTCTTTCAGGTTCATACCGAAAATCAGCTGTATCTATTATATAAACTTTTGGCGCCAATTTTGTCGCATTATTTTCCCGCCAAAAATGTAACAATGTCAAAAACAAAAAACATCAGATTGTTAGAAATGGTATGTTCTAGTTAGATGCAAAATATCGTAGAAGAGGAATCAAAATTGAAGAATTTCTTGTACAGCAAAAACGAACTGGACGTTTCTGAAGAAAAAATGCCAAGCATGTTTGAGAAATATTTCTAGAATTCGCAAATATTTGACAAAAAAATCAGTGGAGGTCATAATCCATGCCTTGATAACAACGAAGTTGGACTATTGTAATTCACTCATGTATGGCTTGCCTAAACGTCTTCTTTCAAAGCTGCAATCAGTCCAAAATTTGGCTGCTTGGATTGTTACCTTGTCTCGGAAATATGATCATATCACACCACTCTTAATTCAACTACATTGGCTTCCTGTTCACTACTGAATCGTTTTTAAAATTCTTCTATTGGTTTATAAGTCAATGAACGGAGCCTGTCCACTTTACTTGTCTAGTTGTTTGCAACATCGAACATCCACTCGATCCCTCCGCTCAGTTGGAAATGAGCTTTTACTGGTGCCTTCTTCCAAAAGTAAAACTTGTGGTGACAGATCCTTCGCTGTATGTGCTCGAAAACTATGGCACAAACTTCCACACAGTTTGCGGAAGGCATCCTGTATATCGACTTTTAAAAAGGATCTCAAAACTTATCTTTTTAAACTTTTTATTAATAATAGTTCCCTGTATCTTTCTTTTGATTGATATAGATGGGTCTGTAAGTTTATTTAAGTATATGTACATAATTATAAATAACTGTATCTACTTCTTCTTATTTGTAAAGCGCCTTGAACTTTTGGATATGTGCTCTATAGAAATCGAGGATATTATTATCATTATTATTAAATGTGGCTCCGAATTTGGATATAGCGCTGAGTATGGACATTGAAAAGAACCCTGGACAATCTGTACAGAATATTGTCAATAAGCAAAACCGAAATAACATTTCCAACTCAACAACAGCAAGACAGGAAAGTTAATATATTCTCAACAACAGCTACTACATTTCCAAAAGCCTAAAAATATCAATCACCTTTCTCTTAGTCTGGTCCATCTTATGAAAGACCACAGGATATCCAGAAAGCTACGGAAAAGAGGCAAAAGAGCTGGCAGAAAATTGCATTATTCTGGAATTAATTGTATAAACGGTATGAATTGTGAAAAATTTTTTAACAGCCATGAAACATCAAATGCTAATTCAGCCATCGCGCTTCACTTGAGACATCCACCACCTATTGTGCAAAGAAACAATGTAATTAGCATCTCACCGCAAAACATCACACACCCACCAGTTTCTGTACAAGTCATTAAAATCCCGGTCTTAATTACAAACAATAGGAAATTAAGACCCACAATTATAAGAGAAAGACAGATGGTCAAGATCCCATGCAATCATTTAATCAATCAGCATACTAATACCAACAGTAATTTAATGCTCCCTCGTTTCTGTCTTATTAATGCCCGTTCTTTAAACCATAAAACTGACAAACTTCGTGCTTTTTGGCTATAAATAAGGTCGATATAGCAGCAGTCATAGAAACCTGGCTACACAATGATATTGGCGACGAACAGGTATCGATTTATGGTTATATAATAAACCGTAATGACAGATTACACAGCAAAGCAGGAGGGATATGCTTATACCTTTCGCAAGAACTTCTTGTACTGATTCTTCATATCTTGCTTGGTTCTCGAAATATTTTCACTTGAAGTAATGAGATGTCCGCCATCTTGGATAAATTTTTTATCTCATTAACGGTAGTTTTGGTGACATCACAACAGGGATTAACCATATAAAAGTATTTGTTGCTGACCAAATATTGATTGGTAGATGTTTTAAACGTTTTAAGTGATCTTGATATTTCCAAGGGCATACAGAATATAGATTTGAGTGCAAAATGATTGGTGGTTGTCTAGATAAAAATATTGCATGACCCGTTGTGACGTAACATGCATATCTACAAAAATCCAAGATGGCGGACATTTCATTTCTTTTGATTAAAATATTTGTAGAAGTAAGCAAGATATGAAAAAAACGGTAAAAGAGTTTTATATATGGTTTTAAATGTTCTTTCAAACAAGAAAATAAAAAATATACTACCATTTCCCTTTAAACAGCTTCCAAAGAATGACTGTAGGGGATGGTGGAAAATTATCAACACGATGACAGGCAGGAAGAATCCAAAGTCCAGTTTTAGCCTACATCGGAATGGCCAACAGTTGACGGATGATGAAATAGCTAACAGTTTAAATATGTGTTTCGTATCTGTGAATGCTGATATTCCACCTCTTGATTGAAATGCCTCCCCACCTATCTTCCAGCTGCAAATGACTTACCAGTTATCCAAAACTACCAAGTTTGTAGTAAACTCCTCAAACTTCAAGCCACTAAAGCGAGTGGACCCGATAACATTCCACCACAAGTTCTTTGAGAACATAACATAACATAACATAATTTTTATTCACTCTAAAATCTTACAAATATATAACACTACAATAAATATTTATACAAACAATATACGAGCTTAGCTATCCGAAATAACCATTTAGGGCAAATCTAGTAGGATAGCTATTACCCAAAAAATTTAATATATAGTAATTCACGGTAGACAGTATATAAAGTATATAGGTTTTCGAACAATGACAGAAGGCAGGACATTAAACACAATTACGATATAATATATTACAAGACACACTTATGAGTCAGGCAAATGGTAGATTAAAATGTTGATACTTAATCACATATGCTACTTTAATTTTCACTATCATAGTGACTGATCATTTGACTTTTAAATTTCTTTTTAAATTTTTTTACGTTAACAGACCTTCAACTCTCACACATTTTGTGTGAGATACACGCATTTGACATATTTCTCACGCTCACACCCATAAACACTATTTTCTCATGCAAAAGCGAAAAAATAGGAAGCGATCCAACTTTTGTTTTAACGCTTCTCTTTGCAAGAAAATATTCCTATTTAGCTGAATCAATAGCTATAAAATAAAGTATTTTTCGAGCAGTTGCTGTGTAACGTATACTGTTGCGTAAGTTGGACTATTGCGCAAATTAGTAAATTGACACTTAGTTATTGAGGGATTTCCCCAGACAACGCTTTATGTAAAATATAAACTATAATCTTATTAATTTTGCGTGATGAATTAGCATTATTCGCGTGTTGGCATGATAACGCATTTTGTGGTAAGCGCTCCCTTCCCGTACCACCCTTCCTTTACGTAGAAATTGAATAGTCATAGTTAAACGCCCACTTTAGGTGGAGAGTATAAATGTAGAGAAAGTATCATAAAAATATCATAAATAAAATAGATTCTAACTGGATGTGTCATTAGTGTGTTATTGAGAATCTCGCTATACAAAAAATAATGACCGGAACTTCGAGTGATTGCGGCCGAAAGAAAGCAAAAGTTGATGGTTCTTTAGATGGTTCTTCCACTTCTTCGCATAAATTTGTTGGTTCTGCGTGATTCAAGTCAAAATTTCAGCCATCCTGGTCAAAAAAGTGGCCTTGTATTATTGCTGTTCCTCGTTCACCAACTGAGTTCAGGTGTACGGTGTGCGACAAAGTTTGCAGCTGTGCTCATCAAGGGGAATCTGATGTGACCAGACATATTCAAGGTGAAAAGCACCAGAAAAATGTACGAGCTAGGACCAATGCAGCGCCGTTAAGTTGATTTGGGTTTATTTCTACCTCGGATCCACTGAAAGATAAGGTAAGACATTAACATATTGTTGTAGTAATAGTGTATGTATATCAGTGTATGGTTGTTTAAAACAATTTGTTTTACTTCTAGTGAAATAATTAATTATAATAGTATTTTTCTAAAAGCTTATTCCATTTTTAGGTCACAACTGCAGAAATTAAAGTTGCTACACTCTTAGTTGAAAACAACATCCCTCTGGCATTTGCTGATAAGCTTAGTCCAATGTTTAAAGAGATATTTCCTGACAGCAACATAGCTAAGAACTACCACAGTGCAAGAATGAAGACAACGTGCATATTGAATGGAGCAATAGCTCCACATGTAAAACAGACATCATTAGTTGAACAGCTGAAATCCGGAGTTTCTAGCATGTCAACAGATGGTTCTAATGACAAAGACCTGGACAAAATGAATCCAATAACGGTAAAACTTTTTGACATTAACGCTTCAATATATAGCTGCGGAGAAGAAAAGTTGCATCCTGCCGAAAATTCTAGACTAAAGCAAATGAGACAGTCAATAAGTGAACTGGAAAATGAAATCAGACAACTTAATAAAGAATTTGAAAACAGACAAGCCGCAGTAGATAAGGTAAACAGCTCGAAAACAAATAGAATTGAAACTGAACTTTTAGAAGCAGACGACGACTATACTTATATGCAGAACGGTGTGCGAAATTGGAGGCTGTTAAGAAAACATGTGTATGCAATAGAACATTATTGTAAAGAAAATATGAATGGGAAAATACCTCCAAAACATGAACTAAATGTTCTTGACCTTGCTTTGAATGACGAAAACCCTGAATTAGATTGTAAAATATCCCAACACCAAACGCATAGACAAAATCCATGCAAAAATGTTCTTGAGAACAATGGCATAGTTTTTCCTGAGTCGAGCGACAATGGCAAAGCTTATGATAGCAATGCTAGTAATTCCACTGTACGCTACATGCCTTTGACGAGAGAAGAGGAACAATTGAAAATAGCACTCGCAGCAAGCGCCCGTTCTTGTTCAACTGGTATTCACACCGAGAGTTACTTTGACCCACAAGGGAAGCAAAATCCCTTTTTAATTTCTTAGCTGACTGCACCCTATTTCTGCTATCCGCCACCGTCGATACCAGCAAACCATATAAACAACTTTGAAGCACCGAATCCCTACTTCTATAACTACCCTCCTCAACACTGGCAAATGCAGCCAGCGATTGCTATTGAAACGTCTACTAGTACCATTACTTCAAACGAGGGGGATACCAGTGCTGATAATCAAGAAGAAACTGATGCAGCTAGTGTGTTGATGGCACTTTCAGGTAACAATGTGCCATTCACAGATTGACAGTGTTTGCTTTTACAGTGACAGTGTAGTTGTTGTGTTACATTTGTTCGTGTTTAACAAAATAGTTTATGTAAAAAACATGCTTGCCTATTAAAATACACTTTAGTTTAGCATGCAGTGATAAAAAATGAAGAGACAGTTAATTGAGTTCAAATTTAAATTGTACTGTGGTTTACATGCTGCGATTAATCGTGTACGCTTCGTTTTCAGGTCATTGAGAAAACATGTGTAAGCTGGCTATACATTTGAAATCTCTTTTTAACGAAAGGGCAATGATGAATCACTCATTTTAATACGCCAGAATACGAATCGTACACGATTAATCGTAGCGTGTAAATGTAGCTTTACATAATATTTTAAACACTAAATAGGTAAGATGTATGATTGTAAAATCCTCGCATATCATGCCTTAAAATAGTTTCAACTGCATATGAGCCAGCCAACTTGACATTATTGTGAACTAAATCATTATACTCATGGTTTAACGACGTCTTTACTTTGTTAAAGCACATTTCTATTGGGTAAAGGTCCGGGGAGTATACAGGCGTATAAAGAAGTTCAATTCCTGCATCTGCTAGAAAATCTTCTAGAATCCCTCCGCCGTCATACTGATGCACAATTAAGTCCATCACAATTATGTCTCCAATTTCCAAAACAGGGCAGGGCGTAGTGTAGTCAGGTCTGTGGCATCTGCAGCCTCATCAAAAAAGTTCAAAAATTCTGCAGTATTTGTCGCCCCGTCAATAAGGTTGAAGTATTCAACTCCATTAAGGGATACTAACATATTTAAAGTTGTGTTTGGGTTCTCTTTTTTTCGTACAACTTCCACGCATCTTTCGCCGATTGGAGAATTTCCATATAAGCGCGTTCTGACATTTGGGATTTTTATCCTTGCTTCATCAAAGAATTAAATTTTTTGAACATCTTTGGAGCTGAGATAGTCAATAAACAGCTGCGTATACAACATGTTTTCGAACGTGAATCTCTCTGCTGCGATTTGCGTTATTTTTTTCCTTGTGTATTTTTTACCCGACGGCAATTTGGATTTTATGGCTTTTGAAATTGGCGAAATAGAAATATCACCTCCCACTTGTTCCAATAATTGATAAATCTCCTTTAGACTAGTAGATCCCTTTTCTACCTTGAGTGTTTCTATAAGTTCAAGATCATCGTCACTTAGCTTGGAACTATAGTCCCCCCCTCGTTTTAGGCTTTCGAAATTGTATGACAGCAAAATTGTGTCCAAATTTTTTTTACAGTATTCGACGATACCTTTAAATCTTGAGCAACGTGCGAATAACTTGATGGGAAAATTCCCGGTGGCTCTATCGCCTCCCATGCTAACGATATGACTAATGAGTGATCTATAATCATCAGAAAGAGAAATGCCAGGTTTATAGCACCTTCCAAACTTGTTTACAGCATCCATTTCTATTGAATTTTACAGTATAAAGTAAAAGTTTCGTGTTCAAAACAATTTGTTTGACGCTACGCCTACAAACGTTATTACTGCCAAACAAATAGTTTTGATTGACAAACTCTACCGGAAGAAACGTTTTAAAACCTTGTTATAAATGCACGCTTCACAGAAGCTTGAAAACGGTAGTAACATACATTTGATCTGATCCACATTAAAAAAAAAACCTGGAAAATTAATCATTATTATTATTAGAAATTATCTTGTAGCCCTTTTTTTTATAGTTGATGCAAAAACAGTTCATGAGGAACCAAAGTGCATACAGACACCAAACTTCAGAAGAATTAACTTGCAAAATAGAGAAAATATCAAGGTGACTTTCAAAAGCCACATATAACTCTACTGGAAACCAATATTGAAGATAATATCTCAAAAGCATTAATAATTCATGAGTAAATTAGCTAACCGTATTGATATATTTTACTCACAAGATAATACTGGATAGCTGGTGAAGTATACCCATCCAATCCTAGGACTGGATCAAACTTAATCCAGTTCTTGCATTGGATCAAAATTAATTCACCTCACTTTAAAGACCATGTGAAGATCATTCTGTGCAGGCCTACATTCCAATGGTCGGGACCCGACCATTGGAATGTTATTAATATTTCGCACTTTCCACACTCTTGAATCTCTAATATGTATTCATTTGCAAGCATAGCGGATCCAGAAGAGTGTTAAAAATTCAGTATAATATATATAATCATATTTTACAACTGTAGCACTGACTTCAAAATGTAAACAATTAAACAAAGCGTTTGTTTACAATACGGACTTTCTATATGATATTCTCTATACAATATTCTATAATAATATGTATTGTTTGACTAGTGAATATATATATATATATATATATATATATATATATATATTGATTTTTTGAATTGCAGAGAAAGTATCGATTGAGTATATATGAGCTTGGTTCTCCTGATGTGCTTAGTGATGAGGACGTTAACTCAATTCAATCCGCCAATATTAATTTCCGACCTATATGACGGGAAGATTAAATGTGAAAGAACTCCGAGAGTATTTGCAGTAGATTTACGAAAATACCACCAAAAAAGTCCCGCTTGATCGAAACTATATATTCCGAAATATTAGTATAATTTTATTGTTTCTCACTCAATTTCAAGCGAATTTCTTACCTTGAAATGATCAATGCGGTGAAATTTATGCAAATGACGCATTACTAATTTTGCTGCTGCATTTTGAATGTCCTGCCTGATTCAAATGCCTGTATCTTTACTTATTTTCATCCTATAATAAAGACAAATAGACCCAAAGAATCGCCATCTTTCATTCTATAGCTCGGAGCAGTCTCGGGAAATTGCAAAATAATCTATGCCTATTATGGCGATTATCGTGGTCGGAAAGTGTTCAGCCAACTTCGGACGCCAAATTCTTGGTAAAGCATTACAGTTTCCTGGTAAAAGACTGCAGAAATCACTTCCGGTGTATTTGTTTACCCTAGATACGGATTTTGATTGGCTTAGGCAGAAAAACAAATCTTTTAGAGCAATTTTCCTGATTATCGCGCACGAGCGTTGTAATGTATTGTGTGGTAATTGTATTGTTTGAATCACATCCTCAAGACGTTCTTGGCCTTATTTTGCAAACTGATAATGCTAGTAATGACGGAATGTCTTCGTACAAAGACAAGTATCTCAACCTGGCATTGGGAGTCGTGTCTGGAGTTTCAAGGCAATTATTTTGATCATTTTTAGACATGCCATTTCAATGTTTTGCCGTTGCCATGGCGTTGTAAATTGATTTGCTTTTAGTATAGCTTCACTAGAACGACCAAGTATGTCCTCATATCGCATTTTTGTGTTGAAATAATCCTTCCATACAGACATTGACAAATGTAAATGGTATTTATTTATATTGTTGTCGAAACGTTATGGTGTTTTAGGCATAAAAAAACTCGGATTCCTAGGCAAAGTAAAATGAGCCTTGAGCACATGTTTGGTTGTTTGTTACATACATAATAGACCAAGTATTGATACTTATATCTTACTAGTTTGGCTCTTATTATAATTTCAAGTGGCACCATATAGATTATGTCTATAAAAAGTTTTTATTTGCAGTGACGAAGATATTGACCCTGTTCCTAGCTGCTGTTCCTGTTCCTAGCTGCTGTTCCTGTTTCATAGCCTCAGGGAAGTAGCAGTTCTCAGAGTCATGAGAACCCCACTCCCCAACCCCCATTAGGAAAACGTGTAAGTGTAGAGGGAAGGTAGGGGATGAGTAGAGGTAAGCCCAGCCACTAGGACCCAAGGTTTTGAAATCTCCCTGTCTAGCACCCCCACTGGGCCCCATAGTATGTGACGGATATGGTGATCCTGACACTAGGAATATTATCCCAGATTTTGCCCCTCACCGACATGTCCGGGATCCATTTCGATCAAGCATTCACCAGAAGTATGAACTGTGAGCTTGAGTTCATTCGGCTCTTTTTTGCTAAGGGAATGCTTCAGGAGGTAGTTTCCTGGCCATACCAATACATAGGCCCACATACAAATAACCCAAATATTATCCCCATATACTAATAAAGAATGGTCTTGGAGTCCACCAACCTTGAGGAGATTGATTGCCTTTTTAGTACATGCAGGTTTGGTAAAGGTGGACAGTGAGATTGAAAATTATTGGAATGTAAAAACCTTATATCATGGTCTGTGGGCAATAGAAATAATTTCTTGCATGGTTTAGGTATAAAGTGCTGTAAAGCAAAGTTTCTGAATATGGTAGATCCTGTCACTGAAGACTACAGCAATAAACTACATCAACAACTGTACCAGCCATCACAGAAAATTGCTGTTGACGAACACACTGTCAAATCAAGGAATAGGTTGGGGATTAGGCAGTTTATGAAAGATGGCCTACTAATGTGGGAGATAAATCTGTGAGTTGCTGGAGACAGTCCTAATGGTTATATTGCGACTTTGTGATTTATACAGGAACAAGTCCAGAGATTCATCGTAGGATGGATTTGGGTATGACATGGTGATGTGATATAAGTTTGGTTACAATCTTAGGTTTTTTGCTGTCCAATATATATTTTGTGCAAAAAAGGAAATATTTTCACCACATAATCCAATTATGTGCCTTGGCAAACATTACTGCCTTGGAAAACATTACTTTTTTATAATTACTAATGATGATGCCAGCCCAACAACACTTGGTCATGCTATATGCAAATGTTGTCATGTTCTAGATTGTGAAAACAATAAATTTCTAAAGAAATGAGTAATGATTATTTAAAATTTGA